TTTGTGGAAGGGGTCTTTTTTACAGGGAAAAAATGAGGTTTGGGTCCCTTTAAGAGTGTGCTCCCAAATTTGTCGTTACGTATAAAAGACACCCGGGGCCCGAAATCTTTCGATTTGGGGGGGGTCAAATACTTATTCCCCCATTAAAAAGCAAAAACAATTTTTTAAAAAAATTTTTTACATGCATTTTTTCGGTTTTTTTTTTTGTTTTCTGTCTTCAGTTGAAAAAAACCTACCATTAAATTATGACTGATATTTTTTTGCATGGGCAAAAAGTACAAAATCAAACAGGGGATCAAAACTTTTTTCCCTAAATGTATATACCCCCAATCAAAATTTAAAAGTTGGATATTCGAAGTGAAGGAAGTAAGGAAGCTTAATCCATAATTTTTAGAGACAGAAATAAACACATGAAAAAATTAGTTCTGGTATGAACAAAGTAAAAGCCTTTTTTAAAAAATATTGCGCCTCCCCTGCGGGAAAAGTCTTGGGTTAAAAATCCACTCAAACACTACTTTTTTTTTTTTTTTTTATTAGTCCACTGTTAAAACGCCCAAAAAAATTTGCATGTAGCGTCAATTTGGGCCTTAAGAACAAAGTGTCATTGCCAAAAATATTCAAAACAAAATTGGGGTGATGTGGCAAGTGAAATTGAAAACTTTTGGACGTGACATGGAAAAAATTTTTGGAAAAGAAAACAGTGGACTAATTTAAAAAAAATACAAAAATATAGTTTTTTATGTATTTTCCTTTAAGGGATCGTTATTTTACACAGAGTTTAAAGACAAAAGGGGTTTGTGATTACAAAGGTTCCGAAAAAATTTGAGGGTTTTTTGGAAGGAAATTCTACAAAACAATTAACAATGAAGGGCAAAGAAACAACACAAAAAACGCTCTAATTTTTTTTCCGCCAGATGAAAACATTTTAAAATGACTGATATTTAAAGATAAGGGGATTTACTGTATGTGTAACAGACGTCAAACAGAAAAAATGCGACGAAAAATATGCTTTGGCCCGAGGAGACAAAAAAGTACAACGAAGGAAAATGAGGTTTAGAAGACAAAGAGAACAATAGTGATAAATAGAGGTTTGTGCTCATGCCCAAAAAAAAAAAAAAAAAACGGGGAAGTGTTTTAAAAATTAAAATTTAACCCAGATGATTTTTTTAACCCCCCCCCCCCCCCCTTTTTTGGTTTAAGGGTTTGGGGGGGGGTTTTTTAAAAGGGGGGGGTTCTCCCCCATAATAGCAGTACAGTAAATCCCCCCCTTCCAGCTGATCTTCATAACAACTGTCGTGATGCTGGGAGGGTGATGGTACAGTATGATGCTGTGGGGGTGATGGTACAGTATGATGCTGGGAGGGTTGATGGTACAGTATGATGCTGTGGGGGTGATGGTACAGTATGATGCTGGGAGGGTGATGGTACAGTAGTGATGCTGGGAGGTGATAGTACAGTAGTGATGCTGGGAGGGTGATGGTACAGTATGATCCGGGGGGTGATGGTACAGTATGATGCTGGGAGGGTGATGGTACAGTATGATGCTGGGGGGGTGATGGTACAGTATGATGCCGGGGGGGGTGATGGTACAGTAGTGATGCTGGGAGGGTGATAGTACAGTAGTGATGCTGGGAGGGTGATAGTACAGTATGATGCTGGGGGGGTGATGGTACAGTAGTGATGCTGCGGGGTGATGCTACAGTAGTGATGCTGGAAGGGTGATGGTACAGTAGTGATGCTGGGGGGGTGATGGTACAGTATGATGCCGGGGGGGGTGATGGTACAGTAGTGATTGCTGGGAGGGTGATGCTACAGTAGTGATGCTGGAAGGGTGATGGTACAGTAGTGATGCTGGGGGGTGATGGTACAGTAGTGAGCTGGATGGGTGATGGTACAGTAGTGATGCTGGAAGGGTGATGGTACAGTAGTGATGCTGGAAGGGTGATGGTACAGTAGTGATGCTGGGGGGGGTGATGGTACAGTATGATGCCGGGGGGGTGATGGTACAGTAGTGATGCTGGGAGGGTGATGCTACAGTAGTGATGCTGGAAGGGTGATGGTACAGTAGTGATGCTGGGGGGGTGATGGTACAGTAGTGATGCTGGATGGGTGATGGTACAGTAGTGATGCTGGAAGGGTGATGGTACAGTAGTGATGCTGGAAGGGTGATGGTACAGTAGTGATGCTGGGAGGTTGATGCTACAGTATGATGTTGGGAGGAAGATGGTGAAAGAGGCCCCACAGTGAGACTGAGACAGGGATAGATGGGGACTGAGGTCATGAATGTTTCATTAACATGTATAATCCATCATGAAAATGACTCCTAATATCTCCCTTCTACTTCCTCTTTGATGCCAGCCGTACTTTCAGAGGACATAGTTCATGCTTTTAATCCAGTAAATGGCTATACTGCCAAAGCAGCTCCTAGAATGGCTGGTGATGCATTGCTCCAAATGGGGCGTATAACTACAGGATCAGCAAAGAGCCAATTCTATATTATATACCTTTCATCGGCCATTCTATGTGATTTAATTCCATATATGTTACGATAAAGCCAATTCTACAGTGAGGGAAAAAAGTATTTGATCCCCTGCTGATTTTGTATGTTTGCCCACTGACATAGACATGATCAGTCTATCATTTTAATGGTAGGTTTATTTGAACAGTGAGAGACAGAATAACAACATAAAAATCCAGAAAAACGCATATCAAAAATGTTAAAAATTGATTAGCATTTTAATGAGGGAAATAAGTATTTGACCCATCTGCAAAACATGACTTAGTACTTGGTGGCAAAACCCTTGTTGGCAATCACAGAGGTCAGACGTTTCTTGTAGTTGGCCACCAGGTTTGCACACATCTCAGGAGGGATTATGTTCCACTCCTCTTTGCAGATCTTCTCCAAGTCATTAAGGTTTCGAGGCTGACATTTGGCAACTCGAACCTTCAGCTCCCTCCACAGATTTTCTATGGGATTAAGGTCTGGAGACTGGCTAGGCCACTCCAGGACCTTAATGTGCTTCTTCTTGAGCCACTCCTTTGTTGCCTTGGCCGTGTGTTTTGGGTCATTGTCATGCTGGAATACCCATCCACGACCCATTTTCAATGCCCTGGCTGAGGGAAGGAGGTTCTCACCCAAGATTTGAGGGTACATGGCCCCGTCCATCGTCCCTTTGATGCGGTGAAGTTGTCCTGTCCCCTTAGCAGAAAAACACCCCCAAAGCATAATGTTTCCAGCTCCATGTTTGATGGTGGGGATAGTGTTCTTGGGGTCATGGGCAGCATTCCTCCTCCTCCAAACACGGCGAGTTGAGTTGATGCCAAAGAGCTCGATTTTGGTCTCATCTGACCACAACACTTTCACCCAGTTCTCCTCTGAATCATTCAGATGTTTATTGGCAAACTTCAGACGGTCCTGTATATGTGCTTTCTTGAGCAGGGGGACCTTGCGGGTGCTGCAGGATTTCAGTCCTTCACGGCGTAGTGTGTTACCAATTGTTTTCTTGGTGACTATGGTCCCAGCTGCCTTGAGATCATTGACAAGATCCTCCCGTGTAGTTTTGGGCTGATTCCTCACCGTTCTCATGATCATTGCAACTCCACGAGGTGAGATCTTGCATGGAGCCCCAGGCCGAGGGAGATTGACAGTTATTTTGTGTTTCTTCCATTTGCGAATAATCGCACCAACTGTTGTCACCTTCTCACCAAGCTGCTTGGCAATGGTCTTGTAGCCCATTCCAGCCTTGTGTAGGTCTACAACCCTGACATCCTTGGAGAGCTCTTTGGTCTTGGCCATGGTGGAGAGTTTGGAATCTGATTGATTGATTGCTTCTGTGGACAGGTGTCTTTTATACAGGTAACAAACTGAGATTAGGAGCACTCCCTTTAAGAGTGTGCTCCTAGTCTCAGCTCGTTACCTGTATAAAAGACACCTGGGAGCCAGAAATCTTTCTGATTGAGAGGGGGTCAAATACTTATTTCCCTCATTAAAATGCAAATCAATTTATAACATTTTTGACATGCGTTTTTTCTGGATTTTTTTGTTGTTATTCTGTCTCTCACTGTTGAAATAAACCTACCATTAAAATTATAGACTGATCATTTCTTTGTCAGTGGGCAAACGTACAAAATCAGCAGGGGATCAAATACTTTTTCCCCTCACTGTATATACCCCCCAATCAAATATAATAGTATGTGATATTCTGTAAGTGACATGGAAGTCAATGGAAGCTTAATTCCATATATGTTATGAGACAGAAATAATACACACTGAAGAAGATTAGTTCTGGTGATGAACAAAGTAAAAGCCTTTTTTAAAAGCTATTGCGCCTCCACTGACGAAGATGTCTATGGGTGTACAAAATCCACTCAAACACTACCTTTTGGTATTTTTTTCATTAGTCCACTGTTAATACAGCCCCAAAAAGTTTTGCATGTCAGCAGTCAATTGGACCTTCAAGAAGCAAAGTGTCATTTGCCACATCATCATGATGATGTGGCAAGTGATATATTGAAAACTTGACTGCTGACATGGAAAACATTTTGGAACTGTATCAACAGTGGACTAATTAAAAAAAATACAAAAATATAGTTTTTGAGTGGTATTTTCCTTTAAGGGATCGTTATTTTACCACAGAGATGAAAGACAATAAGGGCTTTGTTGATTATCAAAGGTAGTCCGAAAAATATCTGAGGTTTCTTTGGAAGTGTCAATTTCTACAAAAACAATATAACAATGATATGGTGCAAAGAAACAACACAGAAAACAGCTCTAGATTCTTCCGCCAGATGAGAAACATTGAAAATGACTGATATTTAAAAGATAAGGAGGATTTACTGTTACTGTTAGTAACAGACTGTCAAACAGAAAAAAATGCAGACTGTAACTCATGCTTTGGCCTGAGGAGACAAAAAAGTACAAGCGAAGGAAAATGAGGATTCAGAAGACAAAGAGAACAATAGTAGATAGTAGAGGTTTGTGCTCATGCAACAACGACGTGTTAATAAATAACCAGATGATGAACATGTAAGTGATAGCTACCTGGGGTGAGGTCGTCCTCCTTGAAGGCGGACATGGTCATGCTGGTGAGCTGGCGTCGCGTCTCCCTCTTTTCCCGCAGGATCTGCTGGAAGGTCCTCAGGCACTTCAGCCTCCGCACGTCCCTCTGGCTCATCTCCATGGGGTGCTCCTCTGCTGTCTCTGCCTTTCCCGCTGCATCTCTTGCTGCCTCGCCCTCTGGGGCTGCAGGGGTATCTGGGACTTCTGGGGATTCTGTGTCGGGCTGTGGCAGCAACAGCGGTGGGGGTTCGTCTCCCTGCACCTCCTGGGGTGCCGGCTCCTCAGCCGAGAAGGAGAGTGAGAGGGACTCTACAGTGGTGCATTGCGATAGAGAGGTGTTCCGGGTGGGGGTGTGTGTTGGGCCCTGAGGCAGAGGAGAGACTGCTTTTTCTTCTGCATGGGGTGGGGAGACCATAGGCTCTGGGCCAGGTGAAGCAAGGTCTGGGCCTGGTTGGGAAACGTCCTGTCCGGGGTAAGGAAGGAGAGAAGGTCCGTAAGGGTCACCCTGACACTGTTGGAGGCCGTCACTGACCTCCTCTGGCAGGGGTTCACCATGGCAGGGTTCTGAGGGAGCAGAGGAGAGGACACTGGTCTGGGTTAGTCCCTCTGTGTCGTCCCTGGCCCCTGCGTCCACCCCATCCTCTTGTGGCGTTTGGGACATATCTGTGTGGGATAGGTTTGTTTGAGACTCAACAAAAAGGCTTGTGGGTAGTTCAACCTCAGTCTCATCTCCAGGACTCTGGACAGTTCCGGGTCCTTCCAGCTTGCGTAGTGCCCCCCGCAGGGCGGAGCTGAAGTCCAGCACGGCTCGTCCGATCCGCTTCACGTTAAAACCCACGTTTTGGATCTCTGCGCTGTTAGGGCGAGGTAGGTGGCCGTCCATGTCTGGAATAACTCCTTCATCCACACTGACCAATGTCATGTCTGTTTCAGCCACAGTGGGGTAGCTCAGTAAGGAGTTCACAGTCCAGGTACAGGTCCCCTCTGTAAACTCCTCAGTCATGTCGTGCTCATATCCAGAATTGTTCTCCAGGTAACTATCAACTTGGCAGTCAGTTGTGTAGCTGAGATCTGTGGGGGGATCTGTGTAGCCATAGCTCTCCACCTCTTCAGTATGTCCTTCCGCTGAGTGGTAACCAGAGCTCCGGGGAAATGAGCAATCAGCAGGACCCTCATACCCCAGGCTGGGGCACTCTGGGTGGGTGTTCGTAGGAATTTGAGTCCCATGCTGTTGTTGCGGCCTCCGTCTATGGCAGCGCCTCTCCTCGCGGCTGGAGGTGCTGGCGGGGGAGTTGTAGTGTCGTCCAGAGGAGTGGAGGGAGAGGCGATCAGAGCTTCCTGTGGAAGACTGGCCCAGGGTACCGGTACTATACCCCTCTGAGCCCCTGTACCGATCCCAGCTCCCTGTCCCCTCCACGCAGGCAGGCCCCTCTCCGTCCTGCTCTTCCAGAGTCCTCTGTCTAGAGTAACAGCCTTCTTCACACCATATAGACTTCCCAGTCCCACCATGTTGTTGGCCACAACCACCCCAGCTCTCCAACCCACCACCCCTACTACCACCTCTAGCACCACCACGCCCTGCACCGTGGCTGGACAAGGGTCTCTCGAGGTCAGACTCTGAATTGAGGCTGTGTCCTGAGGACAGGGAGCTGGTGCTGGGGCAGTCCTGGTCGTCCTGCCGTTCCAGGTAGCCACAGTTCAGTTTCCTGACCATGGTGTGCTCTGGGATGCTGTGTTCCGACAGCTCATCATCCTCCTGCTCCTGGCCGTCAGGCTCTACTGATTCGGTGCCTGGCGAGACTGTGGTAGACGTTTCTTCTAACGTTGGCAAGTGGAACTCCACTGGCGTCCCGTGGATGCTGTGGCGTTGGCTGAAGACGGACGGTCGGTAGATATTAGATTCTGAAGGCGCCATCTGCCTGCCCAAACTGCCGTATGCGCTGACAGGCCTCTGGTGAGGGGTGAAGGAGGATCCATCACTGCCCCCTGCTGCCCCATTCCCTGGACTGCCACTAGCCTTGTTTCCCAAGCGAATGCCCTCTATCTCCTGGAGCACAGCATCCACACAGGAAGATACCTCCTCTACAGAGCCACGCACGGATGAAAGGTATTCCCGCAGGTCCGAGATCTCCTCCTGGATTTTGTTGATCCCTCTCAGCTCCTTCAGAATGTGCTCGATGATGGCGCTAGACTCCTCTTCCTCCTCCTCCTCCTCCTCCTCTTCCTCCTCCTCCTCTTCTTCTTCCTCATCCTCCTCCAGCAGAGTATCGTGCCAAGTTCTGTTGAAGTTGTAATCCACATAGTCACCCATAGAAACAGGTCTCTTTGGATCAGCATTGGTCCGACTGAAGCCAGCCTTCCCTCCTGCTGCCCCTGCCGCTGCGGCAAACCCTGAGCTGTTCATGTTTGGGCTAATCCGGTTCTGGTGTCGGGCTTCTCTTCTCCGTTCTGGAATGGTCCGGATCCCTGCCGGGATGATCCATTTCTGGTGTTTGGGTGTTCGTCTCTGTTCCGGGACAGTCCTAATCCCGTCTGGGATACTCAATTTCTGCTTCCCTGGAGATTGGCTGCTGCTGTTGTGCTGCAGAGTGCAAGGGATCCTGACACAGCCCTCTCTGTTCAGCTCCACCTCACCAACGCAGGAAGCCCCAGACACCCCTCCATGAGCCTTACAGTTGGGGACCCTCGAAGAGCAAGCTTCCTCTCTGGGCCCACACCTCGCAAAAATATCTGTGCCCTCCTTTCTTTCCTCCTGCCCCTCTCCTCCTCCCTCCTCTTCGATCCCAGCATAGCAATGGTCTGGGGCGGGTAGTTCCTGGCCGGATCCTTGGAGCAGGCGGTGGATCTTCTCCCGGATGACAAGCGCTACCCTGGGGTTGGGGGCCCTCTTTTTGCGAACCTTCTCCTTGGCGTCCCCTTTGGGGGCAACGCCTGTTCCGTGTTGTCCATTGAAGCGGTTCTTGGAGAACATCTTCCGGGAAAGAAGCGGAGGACCTTAGCCTTAGTTGTCCCCCCACATTGTTGCTGGAGTCACATTAAAAGAGGCCAGCATCTAAGTCCGAGAGAACAGATACATGGGTGCCTATTCAGCTGCACCTACCAGGAACTTTAGTTCATGGCTGTAAAGACAAAAAAATCAAGATAAAACACATCTTTACTTACTTCAACATTATGGTTATTAGAGAATATTAAGCGTCTGACGAATAGCAGAGGAAAGCCATGTGACTCCAGTCATCTATCTGTACACATTTAATCTCCTTTCCCATCGAAGCACAGTGGAAGAGACATAAAATATGCTCAGAACTGAAAATACAATGGCTCATTTAGTTCCACAAAGCAGAAAAGACAAGAACAGGAGGATCTATAGCAGATAAATGCTGCATAAATACCTTCTATGTATAGCAGATGTGTTCCGTTCACAGAGTTCCGTTCTCTCCATTAATGGAAATTGTTATTCACAGGAGCAATTGGGTTCAAGTATCCACCTCTTGTGATTCTAAGTAAGTAAGCACCACACCTAATTCTTAGAAACTCCTCTGTTATTAATTAATTATATTGCTACTCTGCCATTAACGCCTAAAAGGTCCATTCTGAAAAGGATCGAGAAGAGGTCACTTACATTTTGTGACGAGGGCGGCATTGGTTTGGCCATGGAATAGGAATTCATTTATCTGAGTAGCTAATTGAATTCCAGAATGTAGTTGGATGAATTACATTCTGAAAAACATTACATCCTGGAACTACTGTATCTGGAACATGACCATATTGTACCAACATGGAGTCAATGGAATGTGGAATCTGATGAAGTGCGTTCTGTGTTCCGTGTTCCTACGTGTCTTCTACTCAAGCCTCCCCCAGGGTCCCTCTCTCTAATTTGAGAGGAGAAGTTATTAAATATCTTCCCTCTGTTCAGTTGAAGCCTGTCTTCCCCTGGGCCTTAATGGCCGTGTAATTGCCTTGACTACTGCAGTAATTTCAAATCCTGTAGCTAGGCAGGTCCTTCACAAGCCAGGTAAGCTCCTTAGATTGACACAGATGAACGCACGCACGCTACCTATCCAATGTACCTCGGATTAACTGTATCGGAAGCAACACAGGACACAACTTTAAACTGTCATAGAAACCCATATCAACCTTCTCACACAATATCTAAGGGAACAGAGAGAAATCAGGAGTGAGCACATTTGAAATGGTGTTAAATGAAAGGTTTAGTTCTGTGCGACTGTAAAGCCTTAGCGTTGAGCCATTACCTCCATGTGCTTCAAGTTTAATCCCCATCTCTGACTGGTTTATTGATCGGGCTTATTGAAGTCACACTTGGTAAACACACGATTCAAATTAAATCAGCTGGCCGTCCAAAATCAGGACACCAAACAGACAAACTACTTTCAAAGTTTCAAGTTTCAAGTTTTAATGCCATGTGCACAAGTGCAGTGAAATGTCTTTCTTGCAAGCTCTAAACCAAACAATGCAGTGATCAATATCAATGTAGCACTAAAAATAACATAAAGTAGAACAAAAACACAAGATAAATAAAAATAAGAAATAAGAAGAACAGGAAAAAGTAAGAAGCTAAATACATGGTCAGTTTAATACCATATTTACAATGTGCAGGGATACTGGAGTGATGGAGGTAGATATGTATAGGGGTAAGGTGACTTGGCATCAGGATATATGATAAACAGAGTAGCAGCAGCGTATATGATGATTATATGTGAGTGGGTGTAGAGTCGGTATAAATGTATGTGCATATTATGGTTGTGTGATGAATTATATATCGTGCATATTATGTGTGATGAATTAAGTGTTTGTGTTGGATCGTCAGTGTGTGTGTGCGTTAGCTATTTAGTTAGCTATTGAGCAATCTCATGGCATGGGGATAGAAGCTGTTCAGGAGCCTGTTGTTGTCAGACTTCATGCACCCGGTACTACTTGCCGTGCGGAAGCAGAGAGAACAGTCCATGGCTTGGGTGGTTGACTCTAACAATTTTCCGGAACTTCCTTTCACACCGCCTGATATAAAGGTCCTGGATGGCAGGGAGCTCGGCCCCAGTGATGTACTGGGCTGTCCACATCACCCTCTGTAGCGCCATGCCATCGAGGGCGGTGCTATTGCCATAACAACCAGTGATGCAGCCAGCAAAGATGCTCTCAATGGTGCAGCTGTAGAACGTTTTTTGAGGATTTGGGGGCCCATGTCAAACCTTTTCAACCTCCTGAGGGGGAAGAGGCGTTGTTGCGTCTTCTTCACAAATGTGCACGTGTGTGTGGTCCATTTTAGTCCTTTGTGATTTGGACACTGAGGAACTTGAAGCTCTCAAACTGCCTGGGGTCGGCCCATCAGGAAGTCCAGGACCCAGTTGCAGAGGAAGAATCTTTGTCGATTAACACAGTAGGAGATGACATGAGGGGTAATGAAGTATACAGACACCACAGTAGGAGATGACATGAGGGATAATGAAGCAGACAGACACCACAGTAGGAGATGACATGAGGGGTAATGAAGCAGACAGACACCACAGTAGGAGATGACATGAGGGATAATGAAGCAGACAGACACCACAGTAGGAGATGACATGAGGGATAATGAAGTATACAGACACCACAGTAGGAGATGACATGAGGGATAATGAAGCAGACAGACACCACAGTAGGAGATGACATGAGGGGTAATGATGCAGACAGACACCACAGTAGGAGATGACATGAGGGGTAATGATGCAGACAGACACCACAGTAGGAGATGACATGAGGGATAATGAAGCAGACAGACACCACAGTAGGAGATGACATGAGGGATAATGAAGTAGACAGACACCACAGTAGGAGATGACATGAGGGATAATGAAGCAGACAGACACCACAGTAGGAGATGACATGAGGGATAATGAAGTAGACAGACACCACAGTAGGAGATGACATGAGGGGTAATGAAGCAGACAGACAAATCAAATCAAATTTCAAATCAAATTTTATTGGTCACATGCGCCGAATACAACAGGTGCAGACATTACAGTGAAATGCTTACTTACAGCCCTTAACCAACAGTGCATTTATTTTAAACAAAAAAGTAAGAATAAAACAACAAAAAAAGTGTTGAGAAAAAAAGAGCAGAAGTAAAAAATAAAGTGACAGTAGGGAGGCTATATATACAATAGAATAAAGTGACAGTAGGGAGGCTATATATACAGGGGGGTACCGTTGCATAGTCAATGTGCGGGGGCACCGGCTAGTTGAGGTAATATGTACATGTGGGTAGAGTTAAAGTGACTATGCATAAATACTTAACAGAGTAGCAGCAGCGTAAAAAGGATGGGGTGGGGGGGCAGTGCAAATAGTCCGGGTAGCCATGATTAGCTGTTCAGGAGTCTTATGGCTTGGGGGTAGAAGCTGTTGAGAAGTCTTTTGGACCTAGACTTGGCACTCCGGTACCGCTTGCCGTGCGGTAGCAGAGAGAACAGTCTATGACTAGGGTGACTGGAGTCTTTGACAATTTTGAGGGCCTTCCTCTGACACCGCCTGGTATAGAGGTCCTGGATGGCAGGGAGCTTTGCCCCAGTGATGTACTGGGCCGTACGCACTACCCTCTGTAGTGCCTTGCGGTCAGAGGCCAAGCAGTTGCCATACCAGGCGGTGATGCAACCAGTCAGGATGCTCTCGATGGTGCAGCTGTAGAATTTTTTGAGGATCTGAGGACCCATGCCAAATCTTTTTAGTCTCCTGAGGGGGAATAGGCTTTGTCGTGCCCTCTTCACGACTGTCTTGGTGTGTTTGGACCATGATAGTTCGTTGGTGATGTGGACACCAAGGAACTTGAAGCTCTCAACCTGTTCCACTACAGCCCCGTCGATGAGAATGGGGGCGTGCTCAGTCCTCTTTTTTTTCCTGTAGTCCACAATCATCTCCTTTGTCTTGGTCACGTTGAGGGAGAGGTTGTTGTCCTGGCACCACACGGCCAGATCTCTGACCTCCTCCCTATAGGCTGTCTCATCGTTGTCGGTGATCAGGCCTACCACTGTTGTGTCGTCGGCAAACTTAATGATGGTGTTGGAGTCGTGCCTGGCCATGCAGTCATGGGTGAACAGAGAGTACAGGAGGGGACTGAGCACGCACCCCTGAGGGGCCCCCGTGTTGAGGATCAGTGTGGCAGATGTGTTGTTACCTACCCTTACCACCTGGGGGCGGCCCGTCAGGAAGTCCAGGATCCAGTTGCAGAGGGAGGTGTTTAGTCCCAGGATCCTTAGCTTAGTGATGAGCTTTGAGGGCACTATGGTGTTGAATGCTGAGCTGTAGTCAATGAATAGCATTCTCACGTAGGTGTTCCTCTTGTCCAGGTGGGAAAGGGCAGTGTGGAGTGCGATAGAGATTGCATCATCTGTGGATCTGTTGGGGCGGTATGCAAATTGGAGTGGGTCTAGGGTTTCTGGGATTATGCTGTTGATGTGAGCCATGACCAGTCTTTCAAAGCACTTCACTTCTGTCAGACACCACAGTAGAAGATGACATGAGGGGTAATGAAGCAGACAGACACCACAGTAGGAGATGACATGAGGGGTAATGAAGCAGACAGACACCACAGTAGGAGATGACATGAGGGGTAATGATGCAGACAGACACCACAGTAGGAGATGACATGAGGGGTAATGATGCAGACAGACACCACAGTAGGAGATGACATGAGGGGTAATGATGCAGACAGACACCACAGTAGGAGATGACATGAGGGGTAATGATGCAGACAGACACCACACCAGGAGATGACAGGAAGGAGTAGAGTCTTTCTCTAACATATCATTAGCATTATATCAAAAAAGTCGGATTTCATTACCTAATACATCCGATAATAAGCACTGAGCTCTGTTGAAAGAGCGGTGCAGGTTTCTCGTACACATTTTGAGGATTTTACATTTTGTGGTGGTCGTCGTCAAAGTTGTTTCCGCGGGTCACAAAAAACTAAATTAGCATGTCACG